ATTTTCGGGACTTCTAAACAGTCTTACAACTTTATGGTCTGTTAGATCAAAGGATATCTTGTCCCAGGGATGTTTTGGAACCCCAAATTATTCCGTGGCATCATCGGCATCCTCAGTTATCATGTCATTATAATATTATTGAATTTCTCAACTTGCATTTTAAAACTAAATTAAGCACAACTCGTTGTAAAGATCGATACACAAGTTTCTCAGATCCAAAACATAAACAAATACGATTTGAGGTTGGAAAACCCGGGGAGATGCCCTTTCTACTGGGTCGTACCAGTCGATCATTCCCGCTCCCTCTCTCAATTTTTGTTTAAGAATATCGTTTCGGCCGACTGTCATAAAACCCCGCCCACTTCTCTCGGCTGTTCTACTCCCTAGTCGTCAAGAATAGGTACACTGTTGTTTTGTTCTTGTCTCGCCCACTATCGAACGTTCACCCACTGCCATTATTTCACTTATTCGTTGATTTGTAACTCGTTCTCTTCTTAATCACCCTGCTGTTCTTCTCCAATAGACCATTTATATAGCGGACAGCATTTTCTCTGTTCTTTCTTTGATTGGCCAGACTTCTGAACTGCACGAACAATACTCTTTACGATGGTATTATATACCTAAGTATGAGCGTTTTGGGGTTTCGATATTTTGTAAAATCGTATTATTTTGAGTTCAAAAATCCGACGTTAAATGTTTGACTATTACTTATGAGAAACCCGTATAACAGATCGTAGTAAGCCTTGCTAATAATTTCATAATAATTATTTTGTCATCATATCGATTTTCAAAAGGATCTTCAGACATTCAGTTTTTAATTGCTTGTTTCACATTCAATATCATAACGGCATGAATTTATATTTTCTAGGCATCCGAGTCAAAAAAAATTACACACCTCTGATTAATCTCAACTTGTAAAGCAAACGCCTGCAATAATCTGAATATCTTTCTGACGGAGCGCAATGCTCCAAATGCAAGTAAACTGCAAATGCATACTAAATAACTGTACAATTAATTCAATATCTCTTTGTTCCTGGTTGTCATGCCTACTTTACAATTCGTCGGTGGTTTTAGACTTTACAACCAATCGCTACTTACTTTTCCTTTAGTAAATTGTCCACTTTGCAAGGTTACATACATAATAATTATGTTGCGGTCATCTTATTACTATTATATAAGCGCGAACTTGAAACGAGCAAAGGAAAAGTGTGTTGGCACACTTCTTTTAAATGGCCCACGGCAGATCATTTAATCTGACATAATGCAATGGTCTTTTTCATAGTAGTTTCGTTGCTTGGTTTTTCGCTCAATGAAAGCTGTTTCTCACATTCGGAGACATTTTGAACGGCAGATTTAAGATGAGAAATTTTGCAATAAGTGCAATGTGCTTTTATTTCGTGTGAAAGTTTTGCACGATTTTTCTAAAGCTGAAACTGCTACATGTATCTATTAGCATGTTGCAATAATTACACCACTCGCTTTCATCTTTATTTGAATTATTTTTGTTTTTAGACCAAGGATATCTCTTTTCTTTGTTGATATATGATGTTGTTCTTTATTTGTTTATACGCCAGGTCGATCAGAATAAAGTCTTGTAGAACCAATCACCATTATCTGTCCACCCCTGAACAAAAACTTTCTTCATTTATTTCCATGCTGTTCTCAGTTCAGTATTTCGCTGTATGGTACCATCTTCCTCCTGCTATTCTTTTAACATCATCCAAACATCTTATCTGTGGTCTTTAGGGACTCCTCCTTGTTTGCGGTGGTCTCCAGTGTATAAGCGTTGATTGTTTCAATTCTTGTGTCTAGACCAAATGTTGTCACAGGCAGGATGCACGTGTTAACGACCTTTCGGTTAAGGTTTATAGGGATGTCAGGGCTTTTAACTATATGACTCAGTTTTTCAAATTCCATCCATGTCAGTCTTAATCTTTGCTTTATCTCTCCCTTTGGTTTTCCTTTCCCATTTTAATGAGATGCCCAAGTTATATTCGTCACCAATATCCAAAGTTTTTCGTGTTATTCTTATGTTTTCCTCAGTCCCGCTTATTATTTTTGGTTCTGATAAATTCATTCTTAGTCCGACGTTATTTGCAGCTTCATTTGGTTGTTCTAGCATGTTCTTAAGCACCTGGATTTCTGAACTAATAAGCACTATGTCATCGGCGAAGCGTAAATTGTTTAAACAGATACCATCAACGTTTACACCTTTATTTTCCCACAATAGCTTTTCAAAAAAGTCTTCAAAGGCCAACGTAAATAGTTTGGGGATATAGGATCACTCTACTCTCCCGTTAGAGCATGTCTTTAAAAACTTGGCATGGAAACAAAGAGGGGTTAGCATAGATGGAGAGTAGCCACGAGGATCAATTAGAACAGATAATCCGGGAATTGCATCAGGAATCCATGTCTGTAGGTTTAGAAATGAACGTCGACAAAACGAAAATCTTGAGCTAAAGTCATATCGTTGTGACTGTTAACAGTCACGTTCTCGAGGTTGTTGAGAGCTATGTATATCTAGGACACTCGATCATGCTCGAGACAGAAAATCAAACTGATGAAATCTCCAAAAAGTTCGGGCTGTCCTGGACTACATTCGGCAAGTTGGGGCATATACTTAAGGAACCGAAAATCTCCATTAACCTCAAGCGTAACGTGTACAATGCTTGCATACTTTCAGTTACCATATACGGACTCGAGACTGCCAGAATAATGAAAGGCAGTGAAAACCGTCTACGGGTTCTCCAGAGAGCAATGAAAATACGGATGCTGACTGTGAGCTTCAGAGATGAAATCAGACATCACGAGATGAGGAGGAGAACAGGAGTCAAGGATGTCGTGGAGCAAATTGCCAGAAACAAATGGCGATGAGCGGCCATGTCGCGAGAAATGATATGAAATAGACAAAAAAAGCATAAAATGGAGACCCGGACAATCTAAGTGGAGCGTGGGCCGGCCGAAGGCAAGGTGGCGTGACAATATCCAACGCCAAGCCGGACAGAATTGGATACAGGAAGCTCAGACAGGAAGAGGCCTACGTTCAGGAGTGGACGTGCATGGGCTGACATGATGATATGATGACATTGTTGTAGACCTTTTTATCTTCGTTTTTGCAAATATCTCAGTTTTTGAAAACAATAATTTTTTTTCATAATTTTTCCTGTACTACCTAAAAACGCCCAGACATCATCATCCCAAGAGGAATGACGCTAATTTTGAATGACCGTATATTTAAAGAAATTTTCATTCATGGTCAAAAATTAACAATTTGTAAAAATCGGAAATCTAAAGCGATTTTTTCCAATTTTTTATATTTAGCCTTAGTAAACAATTTATTAATAATTTTTTTTTAAGTTTATTTTGAGATGGGAAGCATATTTGATATCGAGACATCAAGATAACCTTTCTAAATTAATTCTTAACTAATTGGAAATTTTCTCTCACAGCTTGATCAACTTTTTATATATAATTTGTTCTTTGTATTCAAAAATCAATTCTTTTATTTCAAATCTCTTTCTTAATCTCCAATAGAAAAAGCACTGAAATTATATCTGCTTGAAAGTCAAACATTTTGAGGCAACTATGATAGTCAAACATGAAACAGTGATAGTTATAGTTGAATTAATAAAATTAACATATTTTGAAATTTTCCAAACAAATTAAACACCAGAAAATGTCTCAAGTTACAACAGACTCTCCTACTGTGAAGAGCGAAATCTATTTAAAATGAGTTTTAAAATCGCCGCGCTTATTACATAAGTCTCTTGGCCAACCAGTGCGAATGCGGTAGTAGTAGAAAACGAGTTCTCACCTGTAACTGTTTGCATTCCTTGGCCAATTCCAGCATAAATTTTGTACCCCTAGCGTTCAGCAGAACGGCTTTTTTCAATGTTTCATCGAATCGGATGGTGGCAGCACAATGCAAAATTAATTGAACTTCATTGGCCAGCATTATTCTGTCCTTTTCGCTGATTCCTAAGTTTGGTAGCATAACATCGCCTTCAACTGCATCAACTTTGTTGATTATCTCAGCGCCTTTCAGTTTCTTCACCTTGTCGTAGAGCTGAAATTAAAAGTTATGTTAAATAATGAGATTCGCCCAGCAAAAAGTAATTATTCGCTACAGTAATAAAAATTGATCCAGTTGTAAAGTAGCACACAGAGCAAAAGAATAAATTCACAAAATATAATTTTTTCCGAAAGCCAAATATTAAGTATGCATTTTTTTAGATGAATGGATTGAAATAGTTCATCATCGTTCCAGGCATCTACATGCAAAGCGCTTAGAAAGTACGCTGGTGGTTTTGACCACCACCCGATGACCTACACCACGAAGAAACTGTCAGAAGGACAGTAAGGATGCTTCGGAGCGAAAAGGCAGGAAGCCGCCTCCCTCCAACTTCGCCAGCAGAAGTTGCAGCCATCATCAGAAGAACCAAAGCTAAGAAAGCCTCTGTGAGAAATGAAACCATCAACAAAATGCTGAAGAACCTGCCGAGAAAAGGACTGGAAGCTGTAGCTAACAAGCACTCGGAAGTCATCATGCTCCTGAAGCCCAAGAAAAACAGGACTTTCCCCCAAAACCACAGGCCTATCAGCCTGTTGCTCGCCCTCAGCAAAATATCCGAAAGGGATATACTGAAGAGACTTAAAGAGGAAGCGAGCGCGCTTGATTTGCTTCCGCCAGAATAGTTTGGATTCCGAGGAAAGCATTCGACGGAACTCCAACTGCTCAGGATAGTAGAAAGATGCACCAAAGAAATGAATCAGTACTGAACAACTGAAATATTTACACTGGATATCGAAAGAGCGTTCGACAGAGTGTGGAGAAACGGGCTCATCTACAAGATGACAAAAAGAGGTATCAACAAGAAATTATGCCAGCTAATAGACAGTTATATTTGCAGAACTAGCTTCAGCGACAACGTTAGATGTAGTAAGGCAGGAGTACCGCAAGGAGCATTGCTCTCCCCACTGCTATACAACATATTTATAAGCGACATCCCAAGACCTGCCAATACGACCCTGGCACTCTTCGCAGATGATACGGCCCTTCTGACATCCTCATGGCACAAGAACTGCATCAGGCAACAGCTCCAGCTGGAAATTGACGAACTATATCAGTGGTTYGTCAAGTGGAAGCTGAAGATAAATACAGAGAAGAGCCAGGCCATACTTATTGGCAGGAAGCAGAATAATGTCGATGGCAACATCACCATAGAGGGAGAAAACACCGAATGGGAAAGTGATATTAAATATCTGGGTGTTGTTTTAGATAAGCAGCTGACCTGGAGGAAACACATAAAGACAGCAACAAGACAAGGTTAAGGCAACAACTGCCAAGTTGTACCCACTCCTCAATTGAAGCAGCCAGATCAGTATTAGGAACAAGCTACTTGTGTACCATTTGGAATTGTGTCCAAAATGAACAAAATTAATACTCCAAATGTATGCCAAGGCTTAAAGCAGCAACAACGCTACACGTGTAAGTAAAAATATTTAAGTATC